CTTTCGGCCAAAGGATGATTGTGATTTTCAATGAATTTCACCACTGTCCAACTACCTTCGAGATCAACAGCAAATCGAACCATGGTCTTACAGCCAATCCTCGTGTCTGCTTTTTTGAACTTAACTGTGACCATGTTGTTAGGCTCTTTCTTGTAGCCAGCTTTTCCACAAATATAATTTTTGATCTTGAGTTTCTGTAAGTTCGGCTAGTAACTAGTATGATCCTTCCGAACAGTGAATCCTACGTGATGTGCATAGGCACGATAGCTTTCATATGCTTCTTGCTCATTGTCCACAGTGCTGCTTAGAAACTTCTCTGCAATTGGTTCATCACAAACATGTGTTGACCCACAGGATTACATAGCACCATGATAATATCAGCATAACACCATAATAACACCAATATTCACATCAGACTAAGCCAACTATTATACCACAGTAACAATACTAAATCAAAGGCTCAAAGGCAAGCTAAATCAAAGGCAAGAACCAACATAACATTGGAGTAATATCAGAGTAACACCAGAATAACACAAGAGTAACACCAAACAAACATAAGCTTAAAACCGTAATAACACCAATAATAACATCATTACAACACCAATAACAACATTGTACAACAGCACCCAATAACACTACATCAACACCAATATTTACATCAAACTAAGTCAACTATTATACCACAGTAACAGTACTAAATCAAATGCAAAAACCAACATAACATTGGAGTAATACCGAGTAACACTAGAATAACACTAAACAAACACATGCTTAAAACTATAATAACACAAAAAATAACACTATTATAACACAAATAACAACACTGTACAACAGCACCCAATAACACTACATCAACACCAATATTTACATCAGTCTAAGCCAACTATTATACCACAGTAACATTACTAAATTAAAGGCAAGAACGAACATCACATTGGAGTAATACCAGAGTAACACCAAATAATACAAAAGTAACATAAAAAAAACACAAGCTTAACACCATAATAACACAAAAATCGCAACAGTAAAACACCCAAAATTTTACCATAATAACAAAAATATTATTGCCTTCCAAGAACTATACCAGTAAACTATAAAAATAAATACCCCAAACAAAATGACAATAAGACAAACAAAATGACAACCCTAAGCTAAGATAAAACTAGAGATTATTACAAACTCACTTGATCTTCAAAGTTTAAGGTGAGTGATGGGTGTAATTCCTCTGGCATCTCAACGTTCAAGAAAACGTCCATCGAAACCCTAAACAGAAACCCTAGCTGCATGATTACGGAGCTGCGAAATATTTCTTCAGCTACAATAGAACAGTACCTAGGTCTCGAAATATTTTTATGCTGGCGGAATTCTTCGAGTTTCGGTCGGGCCGGGTTCGCATATTCATTTAGTCTGATTTCGTGTTTAATTTAGCCTGATTTCGTCGGTGGGCCCGGCTTTTCCACGGGGCGGCATTTGATTGGACTACGCACGTAGAGCTACGTGTGTAGTTCCGAGGCAATATTTCTTCCACTACGTGGGGTCGGATACATGAATCCTTTTTCTTCATTGCGTCCTATTTAGTGTCATAGTTCATTTAGTTCTAATAAATTAAGATTATTTTTTATACAATAAGCTCAAGTCTTGCTAGGTCTACCTCTGCCTTTCTTAACATAAGTCGAATCTAAAACATCTAATCTCCTAATCGGATAATTAGATAGTCGACGTTTAATGTGACTAAACCATCTAAGACGACTTTCTCTAATTTGTCCGTCACGGGATCTAAACCAACTCTATCACGGATATATTCAATTCACATTTTGTCTCTAAGTGTAAAGCCACTCATCCACCTCATCATTCTCATCTCGGCAAAACTTAACTTACTATTATGCTCCTCTTTTAATGGCCAACATTCAGCGCCATAGAGCCTTGCAGGTCTCACCAATGTCTTATAAAATTTTCCTTTTGGTTTAAGCGGTACTTTTCTATCACACAAAAGACCCGAAGCATTCCTCCACTTCAACCAACCAACTTGAATTCTACTATTAACATCCCCATCTATATCACCATCGCTTTGAACAACAGAGCAAAGACATCTAAATCGTTCACACCTTTTAATAATTTGATCAAAAAGTTACACTTCTGCCATTAGAGCTACTACTACTAAAATTACATTCCATGTATTCAGTTTTAGTTCTACTCAAATGAAGGCGTTTAGACTCCAATGTATACCTCCATAATTCAAGTTTTTCCAGGGTTTTTTCTCCTGTCTTATCCACGAGAAGGATATCATCAGCAAAAAGCATACACCAACATACATCCTCCTGTAAATTTCCAGTTAGACCAAAAAGTAAGCAAGTAGCCAAAATTTGAGCTGCAGGAGTTTCCATTCAACTCATCATGAACTAAATTTTATATAACATTTATTTATAAAAATGGTGAGACCAAAATCCAATTTACTCTTAAAAAGGCTTCTTAGGCATTAAACCTTTTGAGAACAACAAGTGACTTAGAAACCGTATCAATTCCAAATTAACCCAAAAGCAAACATAAGAGGTTTTTATTAACCTTAATCATCACCATTAGATAGCTTATTATATCAAAATGAATCAAGCCTAACAAGAACCCAAGACATGCACCCATATACAATGGATGTGTCACTGTCCATGATTTCATGGAAAAAGATCAAAATGGGATTGTCATTAAGGCAGACTAGCATAGATAAATAAAGGGAGACCAACCACTGCTAAATTATTGTCATCATCAAAATAGGCTGGAGAAGCAAATTGTTCTGTAAGGAGCAAAACCATTCCAACTTTTGGTTTTCTTACAATTTATTTGAGGAATAATACTAATCCATCGCTCAAATTTTAATGCAAAGAACTGAATATTTAATCTAATTTTTTTCCAGGATACTTTACCACCAATTTTTTATTCATAGGCCTCCCATTGCTCACAAAAGATTTGTAAGTTTTACAAATTATTCCTGTTTTATCTCTAATTTACATCAAAAGGCAGCTTGTAACAAAATCAATAATAATGATATTTGAGATCAATGAGAATCATATTAAATTAACACTCCACTCAATACCTTGCTTTGCATTCTATTTGCTGACAGAAGTTTTTCATACATTCTTACGCAAAAAATGGATTTATTTAAACCACGCCCAGGCCAAGTAAAAATTATCCGATTGAGGAAAAGCACAGCCATGTTATATTCTCCAATTTAAGCAAATTAAATACGCACTGCAGCCTCCATTGCTATGCACTCGCATAGCTGAATACCAAAATAGCTGAATTTAAATCAGTATTCCAACAAAATATACGAAAGATCAAATTCAAATGAGAATAGCATTACTCGGCTGACATGACGACTGACATGTGTCAATCTTTCATACTTTCTATGCCCAAATTCATGCAAGTTCTTCCTTTTATTTCATACATTTTTGGAAGGTTCAGTTGCAAGTTTTGCAGGATTCAGGAGGAATAATAAGCAAATCAGAGCAAAAGAGGAGAGACGGGGACTTTTCGACCAAGCGTAACCTCGTCCGTCCTTAGCGCCCCATGTTAAGAGCGTGGTCATGCCATTTCTGGTACTCCGCGCGTGCAATACCCATAGGCATAGTCACGCGCGGAACCAGTGTGATCACGCCTCTTCTATAGGAGCGCGAGCCGCTAGCCTCTAGGCGCACCCATGTCTGATGGTTGTGTGATCACGCCACCCAACCCAAGCGAATGGTATAATTACGCCACTATTCGGGTGTGGTCACGCTGCCGCTTCCTGCTTCGTATGGAAAGTTTTCAAGTGTGTCATTCCGATGGTTTTAGAAATGGACATTAGGGCAAGATTTAGAGAGAGCTTGGAGAATTTTCAAAGCTGGAGGCTAGGACTTAGAGAGAGTTTTGAAAGGGTTGTTCTTCAAATTCCCAAGAGACGAACAGACAATGTTCTCTAGCTCTTTCTCTCAATTCCTTTGTTGTTTTCTTTCAGAGGTTGTATGAGAGATTTGTTTTGTTATTTTTCATAATGTCTTTGTTTTTATTTTGACAAAAATGTTGCTTGCAGGTTTGTTTCCCATGCATTTACACGTGTCTCTCTCCCAGCACGAATAGCTAAACTGGCGAAGGGCTGAGGCAGCAGCAGAATGTGGTTACGACGACAGGGTGGGGTGCTGGAAGTGGTTGTGGTAGCACGGTGGAGAGCTAGAGAAGTTTGGCGGCAACAAGGAGGGAGTCTTGAAGGATGCACATCAGCAGGCAAGGTGGTTGGGGAGAGAGAGAAAGGACTGGACAGTGGCTGGATAGCAACAAACTGCCGGCAGAGCAATTCCAGCAAAGACGGCAGCAAATCTGGTGGCTGGGATAAGGTTGGGTAAGCAGGGAAGGGTAGATAAACACCACCTCAGGACGAGTTACAGCCAGAGTACCTTCTCGCCTTCGGATACAGCATTCAAAAGGGAAAATATGGACGCTGACGTCTGTCCTTATTGAAAACTCAGCAAAACTAATCCAAAGCAAAGCAAAGGACATATTTATAATAGTAGATAGTAAAGAGGACTTGGCCACAACCCTAACCAAATAATTGGGCTGCAGCCTCTTGCCCCCTGACTCCCTCCCCAAACCGGTCCAGCCTTCCCAAGTTGGTTGGCCCCGGTTTAGTAGCTACCAGTCAGCAACCTAGCCAGTTCACCCTTTCTAGAAAAGCCTCATCACATACAAACTTAATTTAGGAAGAACCTAATGAAATATTAACTATAATGAATTCGAACTCATAATATTTAAGGGACAAGATGGTCCATTAATGGTTCATAATAATTGCAAGAGCAAGATAGAAAAATAAATTAAATTCTAAAAGTTAAATAACAAATCTGAAAGAGAAAGTTGTTCTGAAACCAAAGGCATGCCGATACCAAAAATATGGAAATCACAATCTTTCAAGCCGTACAAATGGGAAATGAAGTGGCAACATAGAAAGTGAAGTTAACAGTTAGAAGAAGCTTACTCACCCAGTCTCCTCATCTTCTCGCAACCATTGAAATTTGCTTGGACCTTCTATCCCTCCAAAATATTCTCCAGTTCCTTCGATTGTAATTCCTTCAACAGCATCTCCCAAAATTCTTACATTACTAACTGAAGGTGAAGCTGAAACCACAGTTGATTTGTTATTTGCGCATTCATATGATTGTAAATAACCCAAACATAAAAAGATGTCGTTGTTTATCAAAATTAACAAATGTAACAAAAATTAAGAAATGGATTAACAACAAATAGATCATAAACCAACAATTATGCAAGCCATATTAGACGGCACATGAAAATCCAAACTCCGAAGTATTAAATAAGAATCATATCTTAAGTGGAAAAATTTGAACTGGGAAAATACACTGATCTAGCAACTCGAGTTTATTAATGGAAAAGAAGGTAAGAAAATCATTCCACCAATACTTAACAATAAATTGCATACATGAGGTTATACCAAAAAAAGTTTAAAAAAAAAAAGTAGGCTTGCTAGTCATCATTAAAATACGGTAAGCGAATCATTCATTTGGATTCTCAAATACATATTCTGCTGAAGTATACATATTTGCAAAACCAAAGCATATAAAAGCACCCAGTAACTCAGCAATAATAAAGAGCACGGCCTATTGTTATACATGGAATTATTGGCCTTTGTCCAGACATGTTTGATGTTAGGTAGTCTACAACCAACAAAAAATTTGTCGAAAAATCATGACAGTGGGATAAAGGCTTATTGTTGTTGTAGTTGTCGCTGATCTAGACATGTTTGACAGTAGAGCACAAATAAATCAAAATTGCAAGGCCCAAAATCAATAGAAACTATATGGTATCGACCACAAAGAGGAACAAAAAAAATGATTTCATGAAGTGCAGACTCCCAGATATCCAAGGATGGCTTGGTTGTATATCTCCAACAACAAAAGTTCTTGGTGCTTTCAACAACCTACCTAATTCCAAAAAAAAATGACTCAAGGTTTGTATGGGGTGACTGAACCTTAATAATAAGTTATTGCGCAACATCCATAAAAATTTGTTGTGTAGAAGTTGCTACGAATGAGCTGGCTGTCTGTTTATTTTTCGCAAATCGAAAACGACTGTGCTACAGTTGTATCTAGACAAAAAATTATTATGCTTCTATAAAGTAATGTTGTTTGTAACAGAACAGCTCATACCAATATATTTTATACTCTAAAAGCAAAAATCAAGAGAAAAAAAAATTACAAAAAAATATATACACCTCACTTAACACTGAGTATCATGAGTGCTAAAATTAAGAAAAAAACAATATAACATTTAATAATCACTGAGTATCATGAGTGCTAAAATTAAGAAAAAAATAATATAACATTTAATAACAAGATAATATTATTTTAGAAATGTAGATGGCACATGTCACGTGTTAAACGGTCCTCCAAGGATAATTTAAATGACTGATCACTCTCGATGATGGAATCCTCTAGCTTATCTACCCATCGAAAAAAGCCACCGCTTTCCAAGACTCTCCGAGGACATCTGTAAAACTATCTCTCGTAGTTATATGTCTAACGTAAAGTTAGCAAGGAACATTGAAATCCACAGTAGCGATGAAATCCTCGGGAGGTACCAGAAATCCTCGAGCACATCTTTCTTTAATACTTTAAAAGACATCTCTTTAGATATGACACAAGTAAAAATTGATAAAATAAGTAATTATTTATAGTTTTATGAAGCTGCGAGGTCTAAAAAAACTCATTATATCAATTACAGAAATCGTCACTATAAGAAGGCAACAGACATTATAAAAAAGGCTCTTTGTTGCATTTAACCTACGTAATACCCAGCTCGTGTATGTCATATATGCATATCACCAAAAAAAAAACCATCCAGAATAATTTCAAAAACCGTAGCACCGAAAAAAAAAGGAACTTGGTTGTCTTCATTAAGATTTCACATGTGATACCAACCAACGACAACAAACAAGTCATTCAGAAAAACCAATAAGAACAAACGTCTCATCACAAACCTCTCAAAACCACCAAAAGAAAAACAAAAAAATGCAAAAGAAAAAAAACACTTACAAACAACATAAAAACCCACTTCATGAACTGCATAAAATACAAATACAATAAACAATGAAGGTCTTCAACAACCATTACAATTAATAACATAATTAATACTTAAATTAGCTTCCTACTTTCGCATCTGTAATTCCTTCCCCAAACTCTGTTACCTCGCTTGCACATTCCCGTCTTTAGTACAGGTGTTCGGAACAACATTTTCAGTCTGTGACAAAGACTGTCCTAGAATATACTTAAATATCTCAACAGGGACATGTTCATGATCCTCATCTGCTCTACGAAAGTCGATGTCATTGCGGGAAGGATGTAGTCGAATGTAAATGTGGACAGACATCATGACAATCACAATCTACACCTGTTTGAGAAATAAGTAAGATGGCATATCAAGAAGTATTACTAGTTTCTTCTTCCAAACGCCAAAGATCATCTCAATGACACCATGTAAGAAGGAATGACTTATATTGAGCATTTCTTTTTTATCTCGTGTAATATTGTTGGCTAGCTCAAAGTCAGGTATGTTGTATCTCATATCAGGATAGGACTTAGTAAATATCTGATGTGAATTAGATGATTAGCATTGATAGAAAAATAAATTAAGAGAGTAGCTCAGTCTCAAGTGTACTTGTGGGTCGATGTGAAAAGTTGTACTTGTTAATTCGTGTTGGGACTTTGAAAATTCGACTATCACATACATTGCCCTCCCAACCGATCATGACAAAGTTGAAGCACGCGTTGAAGTCGCATACTGTCATGACATTCTGCGTCGGGGACGCACAACGGCCTATGAATGCAATCATCTCATTTTTTGGAACAAGCGCATCAATGTGTGTTTCATTAATTGCTCTTATACAATTCAAGCTAGATAACGAAGACCTATGTGATTACGACATTTATTTGAAAATTGAATATAATACATAGAATAAATTATCTTAAAGTATGACATGTACCGTGCATCGTGTGAGATCTCTGTGAGAGTATGTTCAGACGTAGAATCTGTGAGTTTTATGACTTGTAAGAAAAAGCTTACAGGTGCATTCGTCCCTATAGAGAAGTATCTGCAAATTATTTTAGAGAAGTGTTTAAATCGTTCAATTGCACCTCGCATTTATTCATTCTGCGATAAAATGTAGAGGGTTATCTCAACACGTCTCACAAAATCGTCCTGGATTGGCCATTAAGTCCATAATTTCGATGAAGTTCCTCCAACAGATAGGTGAATACGTCTGTGTTATTAGCAATTGAGATTGGCAGGTCCTAATAAGATCATCCATGCGGAGGAAAATATAGCAGACAGTGTTAATCTTCCAGAAATGTTGAATGAGAATTTGACTCATAAGGCTACTCCTCACCAACAAGATCAGTCCAACCAGATCAACAACTTCCGCCTACTGTTGTTGAGGCAGCTCTTCCTCAGATCACAAATACTACGAATTTTGTTGTAGCAGATGCTAGCCGAAGTGTCTTGGAACCACCTACTGCGAGAGAAAAGGGTACTCAAGTTCTGGATAAGTGTCAGGATCAAGGTGTGCTGCAGGCTGAGTTAGATCAGCATTTTATGGACCAACATACCCCCCAAGGTGAGCTCTCCATCGAAGATCCACCTATTGTTCAGACGGGACTATCTCTGGCAGATCATTAGCAGGATTACACATCTAGAAAGAAGAAAAAAAGAATGTTAGATCTCAGTAATTCTCAGGACAACTGTCTCATAGTTTCGGTGAAAGCCCACATCTCAGTATATTGTTAGACTCCCTCCCTAGATCCAGAGGAAGCGGTATGTCCACCGACTACACCTACTATGATTAGGAGTTGTTTTCTTTTTGTTATATTTTTAAGGAATACGCAGTAAGTTGTAATCCCTGTCAGTTGGCTTTTTGTACCCATTGACTAAAACATTTGTATCATCTCTTTTATATCAATGAATTTTGTCTATTGCCCCTGAGGAACCCCCCATTGTTGCTACTGTTACTGCGAGCGATGTGATGCTGACACTTTCAAACCCCATAAAAAACAATACTGATGGACTATTACCTACAAATGATAGTGTTCAAACCGATAATCAGGAGAGCCTCATAGCTCCACTTCTTCAGGAAGTATCCGGTGTAGAGGCAACTCATACTTCACATATACTAGAACCTATTGTGGGTAATACAGTTGGTAAACCTACTGTTTCAGTTCTACCACCCCATCAGACTGATTCTTCGAAAGAGGAATGGCAGATCTATTCCAGGAGAAAAAAGAAGAATGGAGGCCGACACCAGCTCGGGAACATATTGTGGATGATACATTGGTTACTACTTGCAATGGCAATCATCTTACCAGCTTATTAGCTTGCTCCTACCCTAGAATTAGAGGCAGAGGCAAAACCAAATTGGGTCGCTCTCTAGCCACCTGATACTATGTCTTTCGACATTATTAGAGTTTTTATTAAAGTATTTAATGTTTTTTCTATTCTTGGAATCATTTGTGGTTTTTTAGGGGGCAAGGTGATATGTTTGGGCTCTCCCACACATTGCATCTGTATCTTTCTTTCTACTTCATATATTAGCCTTTTTGGGCTTTCAAAAAATATATATATATACAGATGCCCAAAAAGGCTAATATATTAAGTAGAAAGAAAGATACAGATGCAACGTGTGGGAGGGCCAAGCATGTCACCCTGCCCACTAAAAAATCACAAATGATTCCAAAACTAGAAAAAAAAATAGAAAAATACATTACATACTAAAATAAAAAACCTAACAGTGTTGAAATACATAGTATCAGGTGGCTCAAGAGCGACTTAATTTAGTGGGCATGGTATCATATTTGGGCCCTCCCACACAAAAAACCACAAATGGTTCCAAAACTAGAAAAAAAAAGAAAAATACATTGAATACTAAAATAAAAAGTCTAACAATGCTGAAATACATAGTATCAGGTGGCTCAAGAGCGACCTAATTTGGGTTTGCCTCTGCCTCTAGTTCTATGCAAGGAGCACGCTAATAAGCTGGTAAGATGATTGTCATTGCCAGAAGTAACCAATGTATCATCCAATATGTTTCCGAGCTGGAGTCGGCCTCCATT